GCCGTGCCATCCAAGGCGTTTCACAGCACTAAGGCCACGGCCTAAGCCATGTCACTCTACGCCCAACGCGTTGCCAAGCCGAGCCCAACCCTCGCACCCGTGTGAATTATACGCCGAACGGCCCACTCCCCGTGGCTTAACCTGCATAAGCCGAGCAGCCCACTATCGTGGCCCAACCTGCTTCCGTTGAGCAGCCTGCTCTTGTGGCCCAGCCTTCTCCCGCCGAGCAGCCCACTCTCGTGGCCTAGCCTGCTCCCTCCGAGGGCCCACTCTCATGGCCCAGCCTGCTCCTGCGACATTCTAAACAAGCCCAAATCGGCCCAAGACTATCTCAACCATCTGGACCAACCATCAAGCCGGGGGCATTTTCACCACGTTTCTCCGCAGATTTAACATTTCCCAATTCAAATCTCATGCCCAGAACCTACCACACTTCCACTGCTTAAGGAGGCATATTCCTTCCAAGCTCTTCCAATCCAAATGGCGAACAACACTTGTCTCGACAAGTCATAAAGTTGATGAACGCCCTTACACAGCAGACAACCTTGGTGAATCAACTTTTGCAATGCACGGAGATCCAATATGCCCCAGACGAGGTGTCCTAAAGAAGGACAAAGGCAGAGGAACTTCTCCACTAGCGTCTCGGCAAGCAGCCATTTGACCAGTCGCAAACTGAGCGTTCTAACATAATACACTCCTGACTGGACCCCGAGATAGCGTATACTTCCGTCTTAGTGCGTAGAGGAGCGTGCACTCTTAGTTAGGCCTACGGACAAACATACACTCACAGTTGGGGCCATACTCCGATACTCAACATGAGCAACCTTCCAGGCGAAGTGTTCATTCGCGGCAAGGCCCGCAAGGAACATCTTCCACCTCACATCGGAGTAAGCAGCACAGCGGACGGAGAAAAAGCAATCACTCAATCTGGCTGAAGTTCAACCAGCAGCCTGTTAGTTACTCACTCACCTGTTGGGAACATACCACACCCACTGCGGCAATGGCATAGATGAGCCGAACACATGGAAGAGTAGCCTAGACCAGTAGGTCACGACCAGGGGTAACCGAGAGTTATGCCACCGCCAACAAAGGAAAATTCAGGAAGAAGTAGAAAGGTTCCTGACTGAGCGATTGTGCAATTTTCAGCGCAACGAAGCTATTGAGAAGACGCTCCGATGAGACATAACCAATATAAGCAAGTCATCTTTCAATGACAAGATCAAGCAGATGCGACTACCCCATATAGATTGTTGGATATAAAAACTACTTATGTTCCGACAAATATAGTAGCTCAACCTAATGGCACACCGGGGGCAGACGAGTACTAGAAGGACACACCAGCCCAACTACCAAGAACCAGTGGCAGGCTAAGGATTATTTCGATTGTCCAAGCAATCCAGCTTTCCTCAGCTGCACTCTAACAATGATTTATATGCTCTCCAGTGCGAGAGGATCAACTAATTGCTCTCCAGGGTAAGCTCTCCAGTGCGAGAATGCCACATAGCTCAAAAGATCAATGCTGGAAGATCAACTAGGCAATAAATGGTTAGGGGGCAGCAACCACTTTTACACTTAACAGTTCGCTCATTCGACACTTCATCTTCAGCAACTCCGATCTTGGTAGCTCCATCCTTGACTGTTCCATCTACGATGGCTGAGAAATCAAACTCAAGTAGTTTCCTCATTTTTTGCAAGCAGCCCAGACGTGGCAGCCCAAACCGTAGCTTATGCCACGCCACTTCCTCGGCCCATGCCAAGCCAATCCTTAGCTTCAATCAAGCCAAGCAGCACAAGCAATGGCCCTTGCTAAACCACCTCTTTGGCCCATGCCAAGCTGTCTCCTGGCCCCTGCCAACCGTCGCGTCACACCACCCTGACGGCTGCCCCGCGACAGCACTATCGACGAAGAAACCAAGAAAAATGAAATTTTTCTTACATCAATGTGGCATGGAGAAAATGAAGAAAGCAACGAAAGACGGTCCTTTGCACGGGCAAGATGTAGAAGATTGCTAGAGGAGGGGGAACAAATATCCTTTAAGCTCTCTCTCTTGTAGGGTAGAATAAATCGCTCTTCAAAGTTGATTTAATCACCCACTTAAGGTGGACTTAAATAGGCTTTGAGAGAAATTTAAATCTCTTTCCTAGAATGATCTAATTTCCTATTAAAGAGATAATCTACATCGAAATAGGAAGCGGTCCAAAGTTTCTTACAGCAAGAAAATCTCTACACCTGTTGCCCTTTTCTGCGAGCAACCAAACAGATGTGGGGGCATTTGTGGAGCCAAAAATAATCATAAGGCGACACGTCGATTTTTGGATAGAAAATGACAAAAATACCCTTGAGACATACCGAGATTCCTACGTGCAAGCAGCGGACAATCATCCCTTAACCAAGTCAAAAGTATCCAAAATAGGTAACAAATTCAAAACTATTTCCTCCACCCTCATCGTATATTCTCCACAAGGTAATTATTCCATAACCCCCAAAACATTTCTTTTAAATTATGTTAATTAGTCAATTAATGGATTTATCACCTAATTAATCTATTAATGACTAATTAACTACAAATTACACCCAAAAAATACCACAAATGGCCGGTCCCCATTCTCCTAATAAGGCCGGCCATATCCCTATAAATAGCTCTCCATTCTCTCCAAAAACGACGTCCAAGTCTCTTGCAAAACTCTACAAAATTCTCCAAACACTCTTCCCTCAAAATTCTAACTTTGGCATCTGAGGTTCTTCGACCAAAGCCCCCCACCCCAATTCATCATGGGTGCGTGAGGCTTTTTGGCCTTGACCAAAGGTGTGATTTGTTTTGTAGATGCAATTTTGTCCAAGAAGGAGAAGCCGGAAATTTGCATCCACACTCATCATCTTTCGCCTCTATCTATTTTTAAATCTTTATGGTCCGATGTTGATGACACTTGCATGTAATTATATCTTGTTGTAGGCAAATGTGGCCAGCGTCAAAATGATAACCAACATAAAAATTCAAAGATTGAAAAAAGAGATGAGAGACAAGTGGCCATCGCTAGTGTCATAAGTAAACAACAGTGTGATCATCGCCAGAGTTGGGCCTCGACGCCAATGAATGTGGAAATGGGTTTGTGGATTTGTCGTTTGGGGTAGAGTGGGATGTTCATATTGGTTTTCTTTTTGGGGGGTGATATAGACACACGCCTTTTTACTTCTTACACATTCTTTTAATTTTCGGCCGTCGGATTGGATGAATTGAAGAAGATCAAATGAAAGAAATTAACAAATATATGTAAGAAATAAAAAGGGGTGCATAGATAACACACCTCTTCTATTTTAGTCCATGTTGCGACTGGAATTGGCTTGTGTCATCAATCACCTTGCGAATTTGGTATGCTAAGTGGTGTATCGATTACTAAAGAGAATCTCTCTACCCCACAAGTAGCCTGATAGCATCCATGACCATGTGTGTCAATTGAAGAAAGACATGTTGGTAAGTATATGAGTAATTCAAAGTCCTTCTAATGTTTTTCAACTTTTGCAACGAACGTATGTGCGTGTGCTTACTGATTGTACAATAATACTAGTTGAACACACATAACTAATTGGGTTAGATAACTAGTTGTTCCGGGGGGGGGGGGGGAAAGAATGGTGAGGATTGAACAAACATCAGGTGCATAAACATGATTGTTTTCTGCTATTGCGGTAAAGCACCATATGCATATAATAAATAAAAGGGTTACACCATACATCTACTTTTTAAATTAAAATTTATCTTAATACACTCACGTACTTTCCAATAATGTCCTCAGACCCCACACTCTACATTTTTTTCTCCATTTTTTTTAATTTATTATTATTAAGGAGAGAGGAAGATTCAAAACTATTACAATAATTTAGAAAATGAAGAGTTTCAAATATGTGACGCGTGATAGAAACCCAACATCTTATCCATTAGAATATTGGATCATGTCAAACTCTTCATATGATTTTCTCATATACTCTATTCAACTTTATGCACATCTAATTTTATGTCCATTTGAGGGTTTAGTAAGTTGAAAATAAAGGGTTTAGGATAAATTTACATAATGAGGTACTTATAAGATTACAAATGAGCAATACTAGGAAATAATACAATTCTTTGTCTACAAGACAAGAAAACCTAGACCAAATCAAATCATATTAAAATTCTAATTAAATCATATCAAATCACTAATTAAATCAAATCTCTAAAACACTTTCCTTTTATTTTCTAACACCCTCTCAAACTCATGATGTGAAATCGTATGTTTGTCAAGAAGAAAATAAGATCTAATTTGAAACTTTGTCAACACCATTTTCACGTTGGACCACACATAAAGTAAGCCAAACGTGAACTAATGTTTTTTTTTTTTTTTAATTCCTATAAATAAATCTCTCGACAAATTCTATCAATTTTTTAGATTTTTGTCATTAGAGATTTTAGATTTCGTATGTATACAATGGCAGAGCCACCTAAAACCTGGCCACTTTGCACTTTTGCATGGTTTTGAACTTTTGAATCAGTATTCCTTGTATATGGTTTTATATTTTAGCACAAAAATAATTATTAGCAGAAATCTAGATGTCTTCAGATGTATGCCAGCGTCAAACTTAATTGAATCAACTGCAGTTCAAATGCTTTCTCCTATTTAAAAACCAAGTTAATTTTTGCATATCGTATTCTCATACTTCCTCACTTTCTTTTTTAAAATTTTGTGAGGCTAAATAGTCTTTTAGTATATAAGTAATTTAACAATAAGTTTTTTGTGTGTATTCAATAATAATATTTAGGGTGTTAATGAAAAAATGTAAATAAAATGTAGTATAATAAATTTGAAAACATAGGAAATAGAGTTGAATGGCCAAAGTGGGAAAAAACACATAATTTAGGGGTAAAGTTAAATTGATTCATTGAACCTAACTTTTGGGAATTTGGAGAGGGTAGCAGGTCAGTCGTGACTTGTTTCTTGACGTGAAATTGGTTTGAAGGCGGAAGATGAATTCCAATTAAAATTAAATGAAGAAAAAATACAAATATAAATGTCGTTGTTTTCACTGTATGGAAAGGGAATCTCGAAAACCAGCATACAGCCTTGAAGACTAAGGATAAGGGCTTGTCTGTCCACAATCCACACACCGATTGAGTTTGATTCACACAAAACAAAATCCAACCACTTGTATCTCTCTTAACCCCAACCAATTAACCCAATCTCTCCCCCACTCCCCCTCTCCTCCACTGGCTTAGGGAGAGAGAGAGAGAAAGATGGCAGCGGCGGCAGGGGTTGGAGTTGGTGGAGGTGATGTTTGGAGGGCACATGCGGCCATGGCAGCGGTTCAGCTCTTCAACGGAGGGTATCATGTAATTACCAAAGTAGCCCTCAATGTTGGCGTCAACCAGCTTGTATTCTGCGTATACCGGGACCTCCTTGCACTCGCCATCCTCGCTCCCATCGCCTATGTCCGTGAAAAGTAGGCGTTTCTCTTTCATCTAATCTATCTAATTTTATCAATTTCCTCACATTTGCATCATTCATTTCATACTCATATGCTCATATACGCATGGTGTGGTGTGGGTTGGTGTATTGGATGCTCAGACCATGACCATGAGCGCGACCATGATTTGATTATACTCCAAGACTGTTATTTAGCTTGATTTTGTCTAATAATCTATTATCTATATCGACTGTAGTTCTTGTTTCTTGCTTAGAGTTAATCTGTCATCTTGGAAATTAATTATGCAATTGAATTAATCTTCTCCATCCCTCCCCTGTCCTGTGCACATGGATCATGATGTTCACAATATCCTCTAACATTTCTCTTCTCTTGTATGCATTGCATTGCAGAAGGATACGACAACCAATGAATAGACGCATCTTCATGTCCTTCTTCTTTCTTGGGTTAACTGGGTAACATAAGATACTACTTATGGCCACATTCTGATTACTTATAATCTACTGCTACAATTGATGCATCACCCCCTTGACATTTGCTGCTTCTTTATATGAAATAGGATCTTTGGCAACCAGCTTTTGTTTCTTATTGGTCTTGGCTACACAAATCCAACATATGCTGCTGCCATACAGCCTGCTATCCCAGTTTTCACGTTTATCCTCGCTGTTTTAATGGGGTCAGTTTGAATTTTTTCAACTTAATCTACTTAGGTTGGTTCTATGTGCCTGTATATTTCTCTACACTTAGGGATACACGCATTTGCATGTTTAACTTGTACAAGATATTACTTGTTCAATATCATATGTGAACTTGTTCATGCAGTACAGAAAGAGTTAACTTGCTTAGAACTGAAGGGCAGGCCAAGGTTGGTGGTACACTTTTATGTGTTTCTGGGGCCATATTAATGGTCTTATTTCGTGGACCTCCTTTGATTGGATATACAGAACCAGACTTTGCAGCACATAGCGAAATAAGTGCCAAAGGTCAACCAGAGCCAGCTGGATGGTTGATGTCCAGTTTTCTAGAGTTTGGGCTAGATCACTTTCATCTTGGAGTTTTATGCTTATTAGGGAACTGTATGTGCATGGCCGCTTTTTTAGCCATTCAGGTGCATCACTATATACTTTTAACTTTATTTGTCGAATATAATTATGTCATTTATTTGTGAAGTGTGTTTTTTCTTCTTTTGAAGCGCTACTGGAGCTTGTTTGGTGCTATTGTCTTTAGTTTAGTGAGGGAGTTATGTATGTAACTTTGTCATTATGCGTTTCTCATTCTTGTGTCTCCCTCTCCCATTTTATTCTTCTTCTCCCTTTGTCTGTCGATAGAAAATCCTTCTCCCATTTTATTCTTCTTCTCCCTTTGTCTGTTGATAGAAAACAAGAAATTTAATTTATGAAAAAAAGTTAGAAATGATGGACAAGAATCCCATGAAAACTAACCTGAGGAGTACCGAAAGTTATCTTAACAGAAAGACAGTCCAACGAAGCCAAAACTGCACATTGCCAGAGTAGTAGCTTCTTAGCGCCAACTCCCTAAAATTACACCGACAAGAGAAACTGTTTCTCAGACAAACCCACTGCGAAGAGAATGAAGCATAAACTCTCTTTTGAAGCATAAATTATCTTTTGAAGCATACCGCAACTGAGCAAGAAATTGTAGAATTATATTTGGACTTTAGTGGTACAACTTGTCTTGTACCAACTATATTTCTTATAGACATAGGAAAAAGTTTGTTACAACAACAACAACAAAAAGCTTTATCCACTAAGTGGGGTCGATGTATGAATCCTAGAACGCCACTACGCTCGGTTTTGCACCAAGTCTTTTGTTAGCTCCAAGTACTCCATGTGGAGTCTTTTCAAGTCTTCCTAGGTCTTCCTCTACCTCTTTGTGCCTTGAACCTTTGTCTCATAATCGCATCTTCTAATCAGAGCATGTCTTTAGTTCACATGTAAAAACCACCTTAACCGATTTTCTCTCATCTTATTTTCCATTGCGGCCACTCCTATTGTACCCGGACATCCTCGTTCTTTATCTTGTGCTTTGCCCACGTATCCAACGAAGCATTCTCATCTCTGATACACTTATTTTTTGCATATGTTGATGTTTGATCGCCCTACATTTTGTGCCATAAAGCATTGCTGACCTTGTTGCCATCCTATGAAAAATTTCCTTGAGCTTTAGTGGCATATGTCGGTCACACAACATACTCGATGCACTCTTCCATTTTATCCATCCAACTTGTATTTTATGGTTGAGATCTCCATCAAATTCTCTATTCTTTTGCAAGATAAATCCAAGATAACGAAAGAGCTTGCTCTTTGGTACTTTCTGATCTCCAATCCTCACCTTTATCTCATCATCTGGAACCCCATTCCTACTGAACTTGCACTCCATATACTCTGTCTTTGACCTACTTAGACGAAGACCTTTAGATTCTAACACTTTTAGCCAAAGGTTAAGCTTTATATTTACTCCCTCCTCCGTTTCATCTATCAACACTATGTCATTCGCGAAAAAAAAACACCAAGGGATATCATCTTGGATGTCCCGTTAACTCATCCATTACCAATGCAAAAAGGTAAGGACTTAAAATCATATGGATATGGGAAAAAATTTAGTTTGTCCTTAATGAGTTCTTACTGTAGTCCTTGCCCCATCATACATATCCTTTATTGCTTGGATGTATGCTGTTTGTACTCCTTTGTTCTCTAGAATCCTTTAAAGAATTTCTCTTGGGACCATATCATATGTTTTTTCCAAATATATGAAGACCATGTGCAAATCCTGTTGCATATTTCTATATCGTTCCATCGATCTCTTTAATAAATAGATTGCCCCCATAGTCGAGCACCCCAGCATGAACCCGGATTGATTGTCTAAGACCCGTGTCTCTTGTAGATAAGCACCAAAGTGCTTTTTCGCCACTCATTTGGCATTTTCGTTTTTCGAAATCTTATTGAAAAGGTTTTTGAGCCATGCTATACCCGTTTCTCTCAAGACCTTCCACATTTCGATTCGTATATCGTCAGGACCCACTGCTTTTCTATGATTCATCTTTTTCAAAGTTATAACAACTTCCTCTTTCCTGATTCAATGGTAGAAGGAGCAATTTCTACACTCTTCCGAGTTACTCAACTCTCCCAAAGAAGTACTCTTTTCGTGTCCTTTATTGAAAATATTATGAAAATTAGCTCTCCATCTGTCTTTATTTGCGTTCTTCATAGCTAGAACATTTTCATTCTCATCCTAGATGCACCTTACTTGCCTTTTTTTCCCTTACTTTAGCCAATTTATAGATATCCAACTCTCCTTTGGTATCTATCTTCGCTTCTCTCACGGCTTTCTTCGCCTCCTTCGTAATTTTATACCTCTCACGATTTATATCGGTGCTATCCTTGTATAAGGATTTACATCATTCCTTCTTAGCCTTAACTTTTTCCAGTACCTCATCCTTCCACCACCAAGGTTCCTTTTGATGTGGAGCAAAACCACTTTATAGATACAACTAGCAATCGAATCCCACATTTGACTAATGTTCCCTCTGTATCCCAAACGCATTGGACACTTCAGGTCTTGTTCTTTTTTCTCTCTTTTGATATATACATCTATCACCAACAAGCGATGTTGGTTAGCCATGCTTTCTTCTTGTATAACTTTGCAATCCTTACAAATTATATGATCCCCCTTCCTCATTTTTGATGACCCACTCTTGTAGGTGATCACATGGTCTTCTCTGTTTGTAAAGAAGGTATTGGATAGAAAGAGATCCATTGCAAAATCCACAATGGTTTCCCCTTCCTCGTTTCTCTCCAAAACCATGGCCATCATGGAAACCTCTGTAGTTGCTTGTCTCTTTGCCCATAATGTTCATTGATTAATTTTTTCATCTGAGAGATTCCTTGAACCAATTCTCCTAAGATCTTCCCAAAATTTATCCTTTCAGACTCTTATCCAACCTAAGTTGAGGTGCATGCACACTAATCACATTGATATGCTCTAGTCCCTTCACAATCTTGATTGCTATAATTCTATCCCCGACCATCCTAACATCTACAATATATTTTGTTAAAGTCCTATCCACGATGATGCCAACATTGTTTCTTGATTTGTTTGTGCTTGAATACCAAAGATTAAAACTTGAGTTTTCGAGATCGTTTACCCTAAGACCAACCCCTTAGTTTCCTACATAATACTTATCTTTCTCATCAACTTAACTTTTACTCTCTTGAACCCCGCTCTCATGTCCTCGCTTCTTTGACCTCACCCGACCTCACCCATCCAGTAAGGTCAATATACTTCTTTTGCATCTGTTGACCCAAACAACTTTGAGTGGAGTTGTTCAAAAAGAAGTTTCTACAGCACCATTGCTCGTTTAACACTGCATAGGCAAAAGTTTGTTAAACTATGTAAATCTCATGCAGACAATTCCTTGTGAATTGTTGCATGGTGTGTTTTTTCTTATGACAGTAAGATTTCAGTTTGCACCTGCAAAACATTACCCATCACTGTGTACTCTACTTAAAATGATAGAGCGCCATAGTAAGTCCAGCTCTTGAGGGTAACTCCACAAGCATTTTCCTAACGAGGCCTTGGTTCTTTTTTCACGACTTTGCAATAGCAAACTCTCGTCTGTACACAACTACTTTCCTGATGAGTCCTATTCGTTTTGATGAATTTCCAATAGCTAACCCAAATCTATCTTTTGATCTCTATGCAACATCTCAGCTCAATAAAAGATCCTTCTTCCACAGTTGCTCCTTTCTCAGAGGAAATCCCTGCTCAACTTTCTAACCTTCACCATCTTACTTGATAATTTTGAAATAGAAATGAAGGAAGGAGGGCTACTCAAGATAAACTTATTCCAGTTTATGTGTGCATATGTAGTGTGCTTGGAAGTGTGCTTTGATAATCTCTATATCTTATCATATTTGGGCAAATTAGGATCAGGGTTGCAGAAATTGGGAGTTTGTGAAGTTAGGGTTCTAGAATTAAGGGAAAGGTTAAATCAAATTTCATTGTTAGGTCGGATCAGGGTTACATTGACTACCAGCTCTGCACCAATAGGTAGGATCGGATTTAACTGTGTATTAAGTACTTGCTTCTTTGACATGCCTACTCATTTGCTGATTTTTTGTTGGAATTTTGGGACGCCTTCGTGTTATGTGTATTTTACATGTCTGTTCTCTCCAATTCCTTAAGCCATCATTTGAATTAGCCATTGCTCAAAGTTGGTGCATACTATTGTACTCTGAGGGTTTGACCTTCAATTCAGTTTGTTGAAAATGGTTGTCGAACTTGTGTTTGCTTTCATTTTTTTGAATTATTACATTAGTTGAGGGGGAGGGGATTCTTAACATTATTTGAAGGGAAATTCTTCCATTGACATATGACAATTCAAATACATATTGTAGCAACTCTGGCAATCGATGTAATATGAACTTTCGGTTTATTTTATTGAGAGGGGGCGGTGTAAATTTGAATCACATTGAGAGGGTGGTAGATGACCTTTTATTAGTGCATTAATTTTTACTCAACCGCTAGGATACATACATACATAATTATAATAACATGCCTTTCAATTTCTGATAACATGTCATAACTTTCAGGCTCCACTTTTGAAAAGATATACTGCCAACCTGTCAGTTACAGCATATTCATACTTCTTCGGTGCGCTATTGATGGTGGTTACTGCATTATTTATGACAAACGAGTCAACAGACTGGAGCTTGACACACTCGGAGCTTTTTGCAGTTATTTACGCTGTAAGTTACAAATTATTGATATATATAGCCCAATCTTTTGTTATCTATGCAAAATTTCATCATCTCTCTTAATTCGTTCTGCCTACAAAGAAGGTTGACTGACTATATGTAACATGGTTTCATACTTGATGTACTAGTGATTTAAAAGATTAGATACCATACATTTTGATAACAATCCTATGCGTCATATTCAACAGATAAGATGGTGTGCTTCTCATAAAATTCTAGAAAGATCATGTCATCTTGATGATAATGATGTGGAGTGGGCCCTACAAGGGTGTCCCTCGATAAGCTTATTTGAGGGATCCTGCTCCTTCTCTTAAAGAATATATACTCTAAAGTGGTTTTCTTTTCTTCTGTAGCATTAGACTTTGAAGCTCTGTTAAGTTTTTTCTTATTCTAAATAAGCAAACTAACATTGCTTTGGTTGGATTATTTTCCTGGTATAAGATAGAGGGGAAGATGTTGGGAAAGGGAGGAATGGAGCTGAGAGAAGAAAAAGATGGAGAAATGATGGAGAATACTTGAAGCTAAAATTTAAATAAAAATTATGTAGAAGTTGTAATTGGTTTTTACTAAGAACCATATTATATATTTTCTCATCTCTCTCTCTCATTTAGCATCACTCTCTTGACTCTGCCTTTTCTCTCTAAGTTATTTTGTTTGATTTTTAACCCTAAAAAAATGCGTCAAACCTTTCTACCCTTTTCCCTCTCTTCTTTCTGTTACACACACCAGAACCCCTGCAAGACCATTTTTCATCTTCAACATCAATGACTCAAATTAGTTCAACCAGAGAGGCCTAGGTATGTTGCATACTCCACCTTAACTTCCATTTCACTGAAAACTGCCACAACCAGCCATGTAAATCACATAGGATAATCAGCCACATATTCTTTTGACTCTGATTATATGAGTGTATTTTTGGTTAATCACTCATTAACTCTGATTGCATAACTAGGTCTCGTATCTGAGGTTCCAGAAAACTTTTATAACTCATGGTGATTCTATCTATTGGCTCTTTGTGCTCCAGAAAATCCTCTACGTACAAGTTACATATCATGTAAATTTGCTGAAATTATTGTATCAGACAGTCGATAATAATGCTATTAACATTTCCTTTGAGTTCTCTGTGATATGATTTTACTAGTATATCTAATGTGAATAAATATGAAGATGGGCACATTTAATATGGCCAGTTCAAAGCGGTTTCAATTGTTAGAATTTGTTAAATTATAACCCTTTGGTTTTCAGGGAACTGTTGCATCTGCCCTTAATTATGGACTGCTGACGTGGAGCAATAAGATTTTGGGGCCTGCTATGGTTGCTCTTTACAATCCACTTCAACCTGCAGCTTCGGCGTTTTTGTCAAGAATTTTCCTTGGAAGCCCTATTTATTTGGGAAGGTTTGCTCACATCAAATACTTGTGTGGAAAAATCCTTTTGGTCGTTGGCCATATATGTACTGTTATGCATTATGTTTAGTCAGCTATGATGTTTATTTTCTGTGGTATTATTCACTTGATTAATTATGGCCGAGCTGGCGTTTTGTCCGAGTGCTGCTTATTTGGTCTCCTTTTTACATGTGAAAACAGTGTCTTAGGAGGAATACTAATTATTGCTGGTCTGTATGTGGTAACTTGGGCGTCTTTGAGAGAAAGACAAGCAGCTTTGGATGCTGTTATACCTCACGTTGCTCGGAGCTCGGAACCTCTCATCCAGAAAGATGCAACGCTTAACAAGATACCATTCCAGAGAGGACTCATTTTCTCAGTGCCTTCCAGTTCAATACCAAAGTCGTCAGATTAAGAAAACATGTGATGGGTATTGACCAAAAAAAAAAAAAAAACGTTTCCAGTTCAATACCAAAGTCGTCAGATTAAGAAAACATGTGATGGGTATTGTCCAAAAAGAAAACGTGTGATGGGTTGTGATGGGAATTTGGAGAGTAAACCAATTGAGGAGAATTGCTCAAATATCCATGTTTCTTTTATTTGTGGTCCGAATTTTTTTTCCCTTATGAATGCGTATGATTTAGCCGTGTTCTTTTATTATTTTTTTTTTTTTTTTATTACGTATTTTTATGAATAGGGAAAGACCGAAAGAGAGACGAGGAATAACACGAGCAATAGATACCAGAAGATAGATGGTGGAGGGTGGAGGGTGGAGGGTGGAGGGAATCGTGTTCTGGTGGTTCAGTTGTTAGTAAAGTGGTCATGCTTACGTAGTACTATGCAATGCGCGTGCTCTCATCCCATCCCATGCTTATGAAGTTATGATTCCCATGCTTATGAAGTTATGATAAATAATACTAATGCGAATATGTTTGGATTGGACTGGTTTGATTTTCAGGTCTCACAATGATTCATTCCAATTATCAGATAAAATCCCACTTACAACTGCGATCTTCTATTCCTATACCTATAAATAATAGAGGTATTTGCAGATTTTTCTTCTGATTTTGTAAATAACTGTCAATTTTTTCTTGAAATTTAATTTTAGTCGATTAGCCTCATGAGCTTTCATAATTGGCCAATTTACCCTCTAAACTTTAATTTTAGTCAATTATTCCTTCTGAACGTTTATAATTCGTTAGTTTTCAATAATGAATTTGTTGGATTGAGCAATTACTTTTCTTATTAGAATTTACTCGTGGATCAAGTCATTAGAAAGGCTATTGAAATAGCATTACAACTCCAACATGTTGAAAAAGTGGACCATGGGGAAGATTCATAGTTGGCCACATTAGGGATATAATTCAAACAAAAAATGTATGAAGTAAACTAGCGGAGAAGAAGAAAAAAAAAATGTTGTCCACATTAGGAGTAAATTACCTTTTTGTCTTCAAACAATTGCCAAGTATTGCACACGTGACTAAGATGGATGAAAATTTTCAAAATCTAATGTCGATGGGGAAATTAGCAAATTATAAAAGTTCAGGAGGGTAATCAGCTAAAATTAAAATCCAAGGAGAAAATTGGGCAATTATAAAAGTTTAGACCGTAATTGGTTAAAATTAAAGTTCAGGAGGAAACTGACAGTTCATTACAAGTTCGGGGAGAAAATTAACAAATACCTCTAAATATTAACATCATCTGCATATTTTTTTTTTCTCAAAATTTATTCGTATATACAGAGTCTTTAAGAGAAGGATTCCCATTTTTACCAAAAACTGGGGTTAGTTGTGGGGTCCTTCCCATTTTTTTAAAAGCTAGGGATTAGTTGTGGGATCCGAACAGACTATTTTTCAAGTTGCATCCCATAGATCATCCTTGCAATATATTAGCCAATTAGGAAACACTTGAAGCATCTAATTAAGTTCAAAGAAATTGACGAACATTATGTTCTAAGAAACGTTGAAATCTTATCGTGACAATTAAATGGGCAAATGGTTTCGGATTGAATTGAATTTTTACATAGATGATCTATGAATCGAGACTTATAAAATAGACGATTCGGATCGTTGAAGTTCAATGCAGACTAAGTCTCACAACTAATTCTCATTTTTTGAAAATAAAAATTAAGGAAAATTAATGAAAATAACTTGAAAACTTTGAGTTTTAATCAAAAGGACAAAAAGGTGTTGTAAGTAAATAGTATCAGGAGTGACTTTTTAGAGTAAAAATATCATTTTCGTTAAAAGTGAACGATACCTAAAATGTTTTGTTAAAACTCCCAAGAAAATAAGATTCCTTCCCTCACTTGTATGCGTAGCAGCCTAGTCATTATGCCCCATTAGCTCGTTCTACATAATTATACACGTAGCAACCTAGAACATATGAGTTGAAGTGGGTGTACTCAGCTAAAGCCAAAAGAAATAATCAAATATGAATCAAGTAACCACGAGTGAGAGAGGGACGTACACGCGTGGTTCTCTGCTGTCTACGTGTATAAAACATATATAGCTACCCTTTCCTTTGGCCCTCACATAACTTTGCTTACGTGTCAACCTCCTGCTAAATGATTCTATCTCTCTGATTTGGACCCTTGGTTTGGTAGCCTGCGAGCAATTTTGAACGGTTCCGGTTAACTTTTTATCCAAAATGAGAACTAGAATAGTGTCGATGAAACTAAATAAAGGTTCTCTAATTTTGTGAGTTGCATACTTATGCATGGACATGTGCAACATGTATTATATATGTTGATTTTATGTCGTGCAATGCATGTACATAGAGTAACTCTCGATATAGCACTAAAAGCAAGATATATAGACATATTGACTCATCCAATTTTCATTGAAAGGAGATCCACACAAAATCGAAATTAAGTTGTGGTTTAGTAGAACAGACATGTGGAATGATGCCCATGAACTTTCAACTTGCGCATTACATAGCCCAGCATCTAGCTCCTTCCGATAACGTGAAGGTATTCCATTCTACGCGCACATTAGCAAAGAGTAATTGTGTAAAGTAATTTGTACAACACCAAAATCAAAAGGGCACTGAAAAAAAAAAGAAGAAACACCCACAAGTATCCTACCCTACTGGTCCCTACCCATACATAAATCAAAAGGGCCAAGTACCCAATCCCAATCGCTGCTTTTTAAGTTTTGGCAGATCATCAGATCTCTCTTGCATTCTTTTTCACCGGACACCAATAATGTTGTCGTCCTCATGTGATCATTAAGATTTAAGATAATGGTAGTGTTATTTACACGTTATTTATTTATTTTATACACTTTTTTTTTTATTTTTAATCATTAGATCGAATAAATTAAAAAATATCAAAGAATACAAATTCACTTAGAATGTGTAGAATTTAAAAGTAGATACGTAAAAGATAAAAAGAATATGCAAATATCATTATTCTTATAGCAATACCTCACTCTCTCTTGTGCTTTAAATGACATCGTATATTCTAATCATAAAATCAACTAAATCAAATAGTGACTAGCTAACTCAAAAAAATCATTTCCATTTATTGGACTAATTATGTACCAGTCAACATTCAGGAGTGCTTAAGGGTTTAACATTTTGCAAAATAATTTTTCATTCTACATGATATATGAAAACGGTGAAAATTTTGTTTAACAAATTATTTTATAAAGATAACTCATAAAATGGAAAACGCATAAAACAATATTTAGTATAAGCTATGTAGAACATCAAATTGATGTTTTCTTAGTTTTTCAAGAATAAATTTTTAAATATGGCATAAATGATAAATTGTAAATAGTCAAAAATCTTAAGAAAAAATAAAATCAGGTATGCTACCACCATCACTTTTTTCATCACCACCACAACATTCTCAACGCCATCACTCGTACAACCTCCACCATCTCACATTCTCACTCTCAAGTCCACCACCACCACCACCACCACCACCACCTCCCACCATCGCCACAGCCACACATCTTCCACTGTCGTTATCCATGCAACCATGGCTACTATTACCGACATAGTCTCACCATAAACACCATCACATGCACCTCTGTCGCCACCACCATTAACACCATCACTATCATCATATTATCTATTGTCTTGCATTCTCACCATTACTACCATCATCCAGCCACTATTGCTACTAACAGCACTCTCGTTGCAACCACCACCACTTCTACTGGACACATTTTCAAATCATAAAATTACAAAATTCTATTTATCATTTTCGTGGTACAAAAAAAGTCACTTCAAAATATGTTTGCAAAGCGTTACTGGACGAATCCTAATTAAAGCAAGACATTATTTTTGTATTGTATAGTAACTCTCTATATGTAGCACGCGAAGCATATAATGATAAGATAATCATCACAATTAAGAATATCACCCAAATAACAATACAAAACAAAACAAACAAAAATAATCATCACAATTCACAAGAATTACCTAATTAATAATTACATCGATCATATGATAATCACCCCCATAAGCTACTGGACAATATAATAATGATGCATACATATGTACATAATAATGTAATTAAAGATAACATAAAATATGTGAGTTACCAAGGCCGCAATCAGTTGGCCGGTCATGTCCATCAAAGTCTTCCACACCACTGAGCTGATTCCCACGACACGCATCCCATCATACATACATATATGTGATATCTATGTATATACATGTATGATGGGATACAAGCTAACACTTTCTCTACGCGTGTGTTAAACAAAGTATATATGGACGCGCACTGCAAAATACTTGTATATGTGCCAATATCCAACCACCATTTTCTGCGTTTATTTTATGTCCAGTGCTGCTCTTAGGGCAAATCCTTTTGATTCTTCACGGTTGGTTAACAAGTGGGCGATTTTAAAATTATCGACAATCCACGTAAAGTTTATATATATATATTTTTTTTAAATTACAAACTACATTTACTACTTCAATTTATATTAAAGAGAGGAGAATAGTTTAAACTTTAAAAGCAGTGAAACGTCTTTAAGCACTAAAGTAATTCATCACTAGGGATAATTTTACATTGTGAAAAATAAAAAATATATATAGGTGAATAAAATATTTATATTTTCAGCCAAAGTTTTCATTTGTACTATGGGATAATGGGTAGAACTAGAATGATTCTTAAAAATAAAGGAAGAAGGAGCACTGAGCATATATATAATCTGGCGGGGGCACCCCCACGAGTCCTCCACCAAATGATTTGCATTATGTATGTCATAGCTGCTAGGTAGGATCACATTGACACATTCGCATGTGTAAGCATTATACAAGCTTAAAGCTTTCCACTTCCACTTTCCACTTTCCCACCCAAAAACAAACAAATTAAGACTATTATAAAAATGAATCCCCACTTCATTATCATAATAAACTGGGTTGCATGACACGTGTGGTTTTCCGAACTTCATTGCCCGAGCACACCTGACGAACAATATTGTTCCAAAACAAAACCCAGTCTAATAATTTATGAGAACTTGAGAAGGGGAGGGTAGTAGTGTACATTATCATTTTGGACACTTGCATGCACATCTTTCTCTTTTACTTTTCTTATTGTGATATTTGGATCAGAAATATTGAGATAAAGATACGTGCAAAAGAAAGTTGTTAAAAGTGAAACTGTGTAAGTATATATATTATCGAAAACGAAAAGAATC